CAAAAATGAAACTAAAAGGTTTTTCAGAGTCGCTGATTACGAATTTAATGTCAAACTGACAATTTAACATTACATTCGTTTTCGGGGTCGCTGATTACGAATTTAATGTCAAATTGACAATATGACATTAAGTTCGTAATCAGCGACCCCGAAAATCCTTTTAGTGTTATTTTTAATCAAAATAATCACTTTTTAGGAAAGTTGACACTTTAATTGACAACTGTCAAATTGTCAATTTGACATCACATTCGTAATCAGCGACCCCGAAAACCCGTATAACATCATTTTTGTTAAAAATAATCACTATTTAGAAAAGTTGACTGTTGCATTGGCAGCTGTCAACCATCATATTGTCAATTTGTCATAAAATTCGTGATCAGAGACCTCGAAATTCCTAAGATAGTGTTTCATTTGTTTATACCTACTCTCAATTTTGATCTGGTGTTAAAAAATTAATTAAATATACGCATTATTTAAAAAAAGCATGGGTGCCCACAACCGGGTACATGAGGGTGCCCACAACCGGAACAAGCACCTATTTTTTCAAGATACCAACAATTTTTATAGTACTGATATTTTGGTCAAAGTCAAAATTAAATCACAAAATATAATGTAAACACTGCACACAAAAAAATTACAGTCACCTTTTTGAAGTAATTCACACCTAATTAACACACTTCGAGCAATTTTTCATTATGCTCACTGCTTCTAAGGAAATGCACATATCGTTGCGGTATTAACACAAAAACAGTGTACTGTCAACATACACGATTGACTGTACTCAAATCAGCAATATCTACTTGCTGTCAAAACTTACGTGGGGGTGCCCACAACCGGAGCGTGCCCACAACCGGGACACTTCCCTTACTAATACTAATTTCCCACGTGAAAAAGTTCCCGGGAGACTCCCGGGAATTTCTCAGAAAAAATTCCCGCAAACTTGTTAACCCTTACGTGAAGCATTGTAGGTGACTCTGAAACAAAAAACTTTTGTTTAAGGCGTAAAAATTTTTTGTAAGTATTTAAAAAGTTTCATTTAACACTAGGAAGTACCCAGAAGCATATTTAAAGTTTAGGTTAATCATATTTTGCATGTTAATTACTTATAGGAACCTATTCAAGGTTTCAGTCTGAGATCCAGGTAATTAATCGACATTTTCCAATGTATTAAACTGAAAAAAATCAATAGTCGATTACTAGGATCTCTCCAGGTACTTCTCTAAAAGTTAGTTAAATTTCGATAACTTCTTCGAGGAAGAAAACCCTAAAATATGAAAGACGATCGCTACAAGAGATTTCCAGGTACCTATGATTACTCAGGGTAATTTTTCGTCAACTTCTGGAACAAGTTAACCTTAAAACGTGATAAATGATCACTAGGAAGTTTCAAAATACTTTCCTAGTGTTCAGGTCGTTTTCATAAACTTTTTCAGGGAAGTTTATGTTAAACAGCTCAATCGTTTACGAGAAGCAATTATCATATTACCTAAACTCAGTCAAAATCAAATATCTACAATTAACCTTCAAATATTTGCTCCTAGGTCAATTGATTTTTATCAACTGTCTCCGTCAAATTAAATATAAATCAGTTAATTATTTATTCCATGTAATTTCAAACAAAAAGTTTTTATCATAATTAAAATTTTTTCTTCTGATTATTTATTTATCAATTTATATTTATATTTTTAATTCTTGAAAAACAACTAAAATATCTTCAAAAATATCGTTGATTTTTAATTTTTATTAAACTATTATGTATACAGACATTTAATAAATTACAGAATAAAACATTTTGATTAATTTTTTTTAACTATAAAACATTCTCGAAGTATTAAACATAACATACAAAAATACCAACAAAATTGTCTGAATTTGAAATTTCATAACCTAAACTTTAAATATGCTTCTGGGTACTTCCTAGTGTTAAATGAAACTTTTTAAATACTTACAAAAATTTTTTACGCCTTAAACAAAAGTTTTTTGTTTCAGAGACACCTACAATGCTTCACGTAAGGGTTAACAAGTTTGCGGGAATTTTTACTGAGAAATTCCCGGGAGATTCCCGGGAGTCAACTCCCGGAAAATTCCCGGGAGTCTCCCGGGAACTTTTTCACGTGGGTTGGCTAAATAAAAATTTGTTTTAGCGAAAATTTAATTAAATAAGAATTTGGTTAAATAAAAATTAGGCTTTAATAAAAATTCTATTAAAAAGAATTCGGCTATATAAAAATTCGGTTAAATAAAAATTCTGCTATTAAAAAATTTGGTTCTACGTTAAATTAATTTTCTAAAATTCAAACTTAGTACACATTGAGCGTCCCAATTAAAATCTTTTCAATGAAATAACAAATTCATAAAATTAAATTTCTTCTTATATTTATAAGAAATAAATTTTTTTTTTAAATTATAAATTAAATTATTAAATTATTATAAATTAATTATAATTTATTATTAATTGTTATTTTAATAGCAGAATTTTTATTTAACTGAATTTTTATATAAACGAATTTTTTTTAATAGAATTTTTATTATAGCCTAATTTTTATTTAACCAAATTTTCGCCAAAACAAATTTTTATTTAGCCAAATTAGTATTAGTATAAATTAGTTTCACTAGAGAAAATTTTACATTGGAATGTATAATTTTCTCTAGTGATACTAATTCTGTTATTGCAAAATAATTCAATGAATATTCGTTTTTTGAAAAAATTCTTAGAAACCAGTTGTAATGAAAAATTATATGATTGTTAAATAATATAATAAATAAAAAATTTGATATTCAAGAATTACAGTCAATAATTCGATAACAGAGAATATGCTTCGATGCGTAGTAGCGCGCCGCGCGCGGCAGTGGTGACTGTTTCAGCGCTTGCACGTCGCTCTTCAAATTCGCGTAATTTACTCATTTTTTAAAGGTACTAAGATTTTTTTTTTAAATTAAAGTTGAGAAAGTGTAGATTTATGTCGTTTTTGAAATTTTTTCCTAAACATATGAGAAATAGTTTAAATAATCATTTGTTTATTAAATAAACAATTTTTTTTGCATAAACAATAAAGGTTAATTGAAATTTCTATTGCATTTCAAAGAGACATAATTTTTCTATATGCTCACCAAATTTTATTAAATTTCATTAACAAGCAACAGAGTAATTGCAAATTTAGTGAAAAGGTAACAAAATATTCAATTGTTAACAAATAATTAAAAAATTAATTTTTTTAAAAACGCATTTCAGGAATGTTTTTAATTCGGCTTCCTGCAATAGATTATAAAAAAAAAATTTTAAATTTGAAGTCAGTTTTAGGTGGCCCAGTTGGGAAATTTTCACCCATATACGCTTGAAACTTTAACTGGGTGTCTAACAAGGATTAAGAAAAAAATTTCCTGACTCCTCCCTGACATTTTTTTATTTTTCTTTGACTTTTTAATAACCTTATTTCTGTTTTATTTGGACAAAAATATGGTTACAGACATATTTAACAATAAATTAATTTCTAATGGTAGTAACAAATGGTAATAAAAACCATTCAAGTTTTTTTAGATTAAAAAATTTTTAAATTCACAAAAAATTTTAATTTTTATAGAAATTTACAGAAATTTTCCTGACTTTGAATGAAATTTTCTGAAATTCCTTGACTTTTCCCTAACATTTCCCTGACCGTTAGACACCCTGTTTAAAGTCTATTATCTCAGAATCGTGATTTTTGAGAACTACACTTACGGTGACTGTGATTTTTTTAAAACCGCTAAACCGATAGGGCTGAAATTTTCAGGGTTTTATACATATACAATAGCTAGTGCGTGAACTAAGGAATTTAAATTTGAACCAAAATTAATTGGTCAAAAAACGAAATTTGAAAGCCCTAAAATCACAATTTTTGAGGAAAAATCGAAATTATAAATATTTTTTAATAAAAATTTATATACTAGTGTATCGAAATATGAAGGGTAGAATGACAAAAGGGGTCAAGCGCCAATTTATCGAAAATGAGGTTTTTGCATAAAAAAATCAAGAAAATTCATTTACACATTTCTGTAGAAGGATTTCCTTTTTTATTGCGTATTTAAATCAGTTTTTAATAAAAATTAAATTAATAAAATAGCCCCAAATTTACTTTATTGCAACCTGATTGAAAAACAAAAGAAAGTGGTGTTCAATTTTGATCAAAAATATTATTTTTTTAGGTTTTATTTTAATATTTTATTTTAATTTTATTTTAATTTTATTTTAATTAATAAAATTAATAATAATAATAATATATTTTCAATTTTAAACAATTTTAAAATCATTTTGTTATTAATTTTTAAATATTTTTATGATTATACTAAGTGAACAATTGAATTTAAAGATGAAAGTATTGCTCAATTCCAAAGCAAGCAATTAATTCGTAATTTTCTTGAAAACAAACAATTTTTTAAAGGAATTTTTTTTTCTATTCATTTCGTCGATTCCATAGAAAGAAACTAATTTTCCAGTTTTTCTTTAAACTGTATATTTTTTTTATAATTAATGCTTAAAGAAAATGTGCGCAGTTGATATAACCTCAAGGCACCACAGTTTTTTTTAATTTTATCGTTAATATGTAGGTTTATTTCAACAAATTGTTGTTTATTTATTAAAACACACTAATATATCGAAACGGTTTTCTCAGTTTTTTTTAAATGACCTGCAAAATGTTTAAAAATGTTTTTTTTACTTCCTGTAAAAACAGTGAATTGGCGCTTGACCCCTTTTGTCCTACCCTTCATATGTACTATTCGATAAAATCAACTTTGTTTTAAAAAAATTTTAAACAAGACTAACAAATTTTTTTAAAATTCCTCTTTTTTGACGCGCATTAAGGTAGATAACACCTTAATTGAAATATAATTGACATTTACAAATTTTTGTATAATTATTAGTTTAAAACAATTATAAGAATAGAAACAAAAATAACCTATAAAATTGTTACAATAATATTAAAAGAGAATTTGTATCAATAGAAATTAATTTGTAGTCTTACTTTTGTTAATAAATACTTCAGCAACAATTGAAAGAAGTATCAATTATTAATTTTGATGTAATGCTTCTCTTTCTTTATAAAACATATAATATTTACTGAAAGTTTTGACATTTCACTTCACTATAGGCAGACGTTTTCCAGATTCTCGCTGTGAGCGCTCAGTGAACACAAGAAGGTTCTCAACCTGTTTATAAAAGTGGTTAAGTTTCATTCATTAGGCTCTGTCACTTGTGACGTCAGAGTCGATTTTAGGTGTGTCGTCAGAGGCCTGGAGGGACAACAAACAAACGACACAATGTTATTCTTATGGGGAAGAAAATTAGTTTCCACTTTCATCAATTTTATTCATACTTTAAACATGGAAAACTCTTGTTGACATATAATAAAATTAAAATGTGTGTTGATAATTAATTTTGTTATATATTTGATTCAATTGCATTGATAGATTCTCTGAATTCGTGATAAAAGATAAATTTTGAGGTTAGGGGTGCTTGTTTACTAACTTGAAATCTTTTACTGCTGCGGTAATTCCCACTTAAAATATATATTTTATATCTTTTTTAATAACATGCATACTGGATATTGTTTAATAATGTTGTTAAAATGTAAAATGTGATTATATGTAAACAAACATACAAAATAATTTGTATCAAGTAAAGTTGCCTGTGTTAATGCTGATTCATTGATCAATTTAGCAGCCTCATTTTTCACTTTTTTATGTATAATTACACAAAATTAACTCGCATCAAACACATTTCAAAAAAAACGCCAACTGACAGTTATACACAAACACTTATATAACAATATACCACGTGACCTGTAATTCCTCGCTTTTCCGCTAGGGTTGTTAGTATCGGAGATATGTAAGGGCGGTATTCAAAATGCTTCTATTAAATCTGGAATAGGGATGGAAAAGTCGACTTCGACTTTAGTCGAAAGTCGACTTTCGATACTAAAAAGTCGACTTTTCGCGGTCGACTTTGATTCGGTCGAAGTCGATGAAAGTCGATCTTCGTCGGTCGACTTCTCGACTTTCTGTCAACATGAAAAACAACTGACACGTGATAAACACGCATGACGAAACTGTGGACTAACGGTTTTCGGGACGTTATATATTATTTTTCGTACATTGTGTTGCACGACATTATTTTTAATTAAATATTAAGCACATGGGTCCTAGTGCTGTTTGGATTTATTTTTCAAAAATTGGTGACGGCAGTAAAGTGCAGTGTACAGAATGTAAAAAGGAAATGTGTTTTAATAAGAATATTTAAATAATATTTAATAACAATAATTTCGATTGAATTATAATTATAATTAGATGATAAAGAATAATTTTAATATTTTAAAATAGAATGTTTTTACCATTAATGTAGAAATATAATCAATTACATTAAAAATGTTTATTCTGGATTTTTCCTTTCATAGTTAAGTATTACTTATTGTAATATAATTAAATTTAAGTTCATCAAATTAGATTTTTCTTAAAAAAATGATTCAGAGATAATTATTAATAAGTTATAAATGAATATTCTTAAAATAAATATGATTTCAAAAAAAGTCGATAAAAAGTCGACTTTTTTTACAAAGTCGACTTCGGTCGACTTTAAAAAGTCGAAAGACTTAAAGTCGATTGTAAAGTCGAAAGTCGACTTTTCGTTTCCCCTTTCCATCCCTAATCTGGAAAGGCTGGGGAAGAATTTTCATAAAGGCGCTTGTATACCTCACCGATCCCGAGTATACTTCTGTCGTGTACCATTGGAGTAAAAGAGACAAAAAGATATTTCCGTCTCTTTTACTCCAATGATACACGACGCAAGTATACTCGGGATGGGTGAGGTATACAAGCGCCTTAAACGGCCTATAGAGTGAGTGCTCCTTATACTACCCATAAGCGTAGCTTGGAAGCCACTAGTCGTTTCGTCCCGGTCCCCACTACTGGACTCATCAATAAGGCTACGTAGTGGGAAACCTGCCTTATACGACCATGGGGAAGTGAGAGTTGGATCGTGTATATATGTGACGTTCCATGAGGAAAGGGACCTTAGCTGCAAAAAAATGAAAATTGAGTTTTTGATATCAGTCGATAGATCTTGAGTTGCTCTTTCAGATACAAAAGTTAAAAATTGTACTTTTCTATTTAGTTTTTTTGTTATAAAGCATTAATCATGACCATGTTAATCGCGTTCCAGCACGGACTACAGAAACCATCCCCACCACTACTACACTAGTATACTTGTCGTAAGCGTGAGCTGTAGGAACGATGTAGTAGTAAGGTGGTGGGGCTGATTTTCGATGGAGGGTCTCAACCAATCAGGGACGCTCTACTTTAAATACCTTTTCTGGAAAATGCGTCTATTGCAGCTAAGGTCCCTTTCCTCATGGAACGTCACATATGCTACACGCCAAGCAACATCTACACTTATGAGAGAGCACATGGGTACTGACCAATGGCAGAGACATCCATTGGCCAACCCCCACAAGTGGCACGAAGTCCGTCCAACTTGTGGTAAGTTCGTTAGTTCGTGCCACTTATTAGTAATATCTTATAAAATTCATTTCTTCTTCTTCACATGAAATTGAAATGAAAAGCACTGACGAAATAGACGGCAACAGGATCCAACGGAATTGTCATATTTGTGAATGACCCTTCAAAAAATCCACTTTCCACAAGTGGCACGGAGTCTGTCTAACAAGTGGCACGAACTAACGAACTTGCCACAAGTTGGACGGACTTCGTGCCACTTGTGGTACGAAACACCGCCACTTGCGACCGAGACGCTCGTGAGTACGGAAGCGCCTACAAGTCACCAGCGAACTATCTTGTTCGCGTCACATTTTTAGCTGTGAAACCGAGGAACGCGTTCGATGGTTTCGCTGTTTCCTTGTTTTTGAGTGACGATAAAACACACTATACGGTTCGATGGTTCTCTGGTTTTACTTAGTTCTATCGTTATCGAAGTCTAAATTTTGTATTAAAAAAATAAATTTAAATTTAAAAACCGAAATATAATAATATATTTAAATTATATATTTGAGATATATCAGATATCTTATAATGTGTGCCTAAAAAATTATTTTATTTAAAAATAATAGTACAAAATATTAATAGTATAGTACAAATATAAAATGCAAACAAATCAACTTACTTCAAAATAATATTTTGTACTATTATTTTTAAATAAAATAATTTTTTAGGCACACATTATAAGATATCTGATATATCTCAAATATATAATTTAAATATATTATTATATTTCGGTTTTTAAATTTAAATTTATTTTTTTAATACAAAATTTAGACTTCGATAACGATAGAACTAAGTAAAACCAGAGAACCATCGAACCGTATAGTGTGTTTTATCGTCACTCAAAAACAAGGAAACAGCGAAACCATCGAACGCGTTCCTCGGTTTCACAGCTAAAAATGTGACGCGAACAAGATAGTTCGCTGGTGACTCGTAGGCGCTTCCGTACGTGAGCCGTCAGGCTTCCGTAAAAAAACGCAGCGTTTACCTTGCGTCGAGCCCATTGTGGAACCAGCCTAATGCATCTCGTTCGCGCGCGTACGACTTTCGCGTAACTATTATGCGTTGACCTTAATGTAGAGGCAGCAGAAGAGTTTAGAATGAGAAAGAAGATATCGTCTGCACAAGTGAAAATTTGTAAACAATTGATAATTGAATTTTTATGCCAACAGTTATTTTAAAAAGATAGATTAAAATATGCAAAAATATGAAAAACTTGAAAAAATAGGCGAAGGTATTTTATAAAATTCCATATTTACTTCTGTAAATGAATTGATATATTTTCGGTAACATATTTATAATCATCTTTACATTTATAAACCATAGTACATAGAATATCGACGGCTCCCCCTTTGATATAATGCTTATTGACATGACAGTTCAAAGAATTGTTACTAAAATATTCGTGTAATATGATTCCGATTGAAATTTAAGTGCAGGATAATTCCCATTCATAATAAAGTTCAAAACTACTTTTAGTCATCATAATACCTATTTAAAGGTTACTAGCGGATGTAAATGTTATTCAATAATTATCGTAAAATTAAGGTTAAATTTCAATTCTTATTGATTATAGTTGAATAAATATATTTGTCTATTTATTATGCAGATCGTGCGGAAAAAACCCTCAAAAATAAAAATTCTTAAATTTTACATATGATGTAGTATATATGAAACGTTAAAATTAAAAATGAGATTTTACATTCATGTAATGCATGGTTGCCATACAGTCAGGCGTTAAAATTTTTCAAATATAAATTTTTAAAACGAAATTATTTTTGAATGAATTAACGTACTTTAAAATATGAGTAAAATTTTCTTTATATTTTTCTAAAGTTTAAAACTTTTTGACATAAATATTTTAAAACTTTGTATTTTATAAAAAAAATTTTTTGCAAATTTTTTACCTTTATGCTCTTTTAATTTTTTTTTAAAGTACTCTAAAATGTTTCTTATTTTATCAATATTTTACCTCCCCCTCAAGGAAATTTTGTGGTTTTTACATGCATATTCGAGAAAAATGATTGATTATACTTTTATCTTATTATTAAGACGTTTATCCACGGAAATACAGACCTTCAGAAAAAAATAATTAATTAACATTTAAATAATTAAAATAATATTATTAATTGTACTTTCTGAAAAAAGAAGTATCAATTTTCAAGAAAAAAATGTAAAACCTAAAACATTTCTTTCTAAAGAATTTTTTAAAAATGATTTTATTTCAATATAATATGGCTTATTTTCTTCAGAAAATGATTCTCTTCAACTTCACTAGAGGGATTTTCAAACAAGCAAGTCGTTTGGAAAATATGGCTATTTGTTTAAAAAAATCTAAATTTATTTTTTAAACAAATAGCCATATTTTCCAGACGGCTTGCTTGTTTGAAAATCCCTCTTGTGAAGTTGTAGATAATCACTTTCTGAAAAAAATAAGCCATATTACCCATTGAGCACATAATATTATAGTATAATATTAAGATTTCCTCCTTATGGTAATATTACAAACTTATTTGAAATATATAAAAATTTCAAAGTTTTTTATGATAAAGCAGAAAAAAATAATAATTAATCAGTCAAATATTTTTAAGTGGTTTTTGAAATTTTTTGTAATATTACAGTAATGTTACTGTAATATTGCGTGCTACACAAGTACAATGAAATCAAATCATTTTTAAAAATTCTTTAGAAGCGATGTGACAGAAAATTTTTATCCTATGTAAATTGAATAAACAAATAAAGTTTTTAGGTTTTACATTTTTTTCTTGAAAATTGCTTTTTCTTCTTTCGGAAAATAAAATTAATAATATTATTTTAATTATTTAAATGTTAATTATTTACGTTTTTTGGAGGTCTGCATTTCTGTGGATAAACGTCTTTAACAGTGTCGAATTTACAGGGTAGGCAACATAAGCAGCTACTTAGGGCGGCAAATTTTAATAGTTTTCACTAGATATAACATTTCTTGAATGGTTAAAAATTATACATTTTATGTGATAGTACATAAACCTGATACATTCTTAAACCACTAAAAATAAATCTTTCTTTTTTATATAATTTTTTGTTTTTATTAGTATAAAGCACATAAATTTCTGAGTGATTTTACTCATTTACGATTTTAATTTTGCCGCCTGTGTAGTAATTATTTGACAGCAACTATTGGGCAGACTCGTTTGAACTCCTTACACTGAAAAAAAACTAGTAGGTTTTACTACTTTTTAACTACTCTGAGGAGTACAATAGGTCCTCAACTGAATTTAAACGGTTCCCAAGCAGCACGCTATATACCCTGAATATCCGTTGAATACCACAGTGGAATATTCGCATGATCTTCTGGGAAAATCAAAATGTCTGCATCATGGGAATATTCCATAGTGACATTCAGGGTATATTCTAGTGACATTGAGGGAATATTCCTCGGTGACATTAATGGGATATTCAGGTGATATTGTGGAAATATTCCAATGATATTGAGGGAATATTCCACGGTTACATTGAATTTTTTTTAAAAATGTGTTTTTAATCTTCCTGCTTATTCAAATAACAATTTATAACATATTTCTATTATTTCAACACTTCAAAAAAATTCAATATAACCGTGGAATATTCCCTCAATATCACAGGAATATTCCTTTAATATTACCCTCAATGTCACTGGAATATACCCTGAATGTCACTGTGTAATATTCCCATGATGCGGACATTTTGATTTACCTGGAAGATCATGGGAATATTCCACGGTGGTATTCAAGGGATATTCAGGGGATATACTCTCTAAATTTGAATCAGCGATAAGTATACCACTGGTACCAATCAGCAGATATACACGGAAAGACTTTGTGCATCACTTTGTGTTAAACTCGCCACGAGATTTTAGTAAACTTTTTACCAAACTCGGAAAAAAAGGAAAGATATTAATAATTCGTAGTCTGACTATTAAAATCAGAAAAAAGTTACTGACGTACAATAATTGATTGTTGAGAATTTTAAAATTTAATAGTCAGTCGATCAAAAAATAAAATCTGAAGTTTCACTAAAAAAACATTTGGCTTTTAATAGCGTGACTACTAAAGTTGCCATCTGAAACCTCATATATACGTATATATATATCGACAATCGACAAGTAATGTAGAAATCCAATTTACCTATGAACGAGAGATCACATATATAAACGCATCTGAACCTAAAATCGCCTAAAATACAGATAGGGTAAACGCTCGCTTTAACCGACGCAACGCAAATACAATTCATATCAACGATATCAAGAGGGCAGTTTATTTTTCTTATATACTAATCTCACCATTTCATTTCCACTTACGAGAAAATTTTTATTATGTTTAAACTTATTTCAAGTGCAATAAAAAAATTTCAAAAAAATAAATTATTTAATATTATTAATAAGGTCAATTTTAGGAAATGTCAGAATTAATTTTTTATGCAAACAGGATTATTAAAAGTGTTCGTTGTGTAGACATTTTTCTATCTATGCCGGAACTATTCAACTGCTGACGCTACACGGACAAGCTCCGCTTGTTTGTATGCGTGCTGTTTTCATCGTGAGACTATTAAATTGTAAACACGACGCAACGAAAATGTCGTTCTTACAAATATAAAGAATATACTTTTGACATTCATTTTTTCTTAATCTTAATTTTTCTTACAGCGTTAAATGAATATTTCTTAGCGTGACTACTAAATTTTGATAAAAGAGAAAACATTTTTTGTTGAAAACATTTATATAAAATGATAGTTTTCCATTTTTTCCGAGTTTGGTCGCGAGTTTACTAAAATCTCTTGGCAAGTTTGACAGAAAGTGATGCACAAAGTCTTTCCGTGTACGCTGAAAAATCAGTGAAATTCCACTAATTCATCAGTGCATATAAGCTGATTGGAATCAGTGGTATACTTATAGCTGAGAATCAGCGAGATTCCGCTGATTCAAATTTAGAGAGTACCGTGCTGCTTGGGTTCTATTAACTATACAAAAATAGTTAAACCAATTAAAAATGTAATTAGTAGAATGACATTTTGTGATTGTATTAACTCAATTTAAAAATGTTAAAACAACTCAAGATGTAAGTAGTAGATTTTACTACTTAAAGTGGTTCAATAGGCTTTAAGAACATTTTTTGGTACATTTAATAAATCTTTTGCAATTGAAACTACTACTTTAAGTAGTAAACTTTACTACTAAAAGTGGTTCAATAGGCTTTAAGAACATTTTTTTGTAGAATTAATAAATCTTTTGCAATTGAAACTACTACTTTAAGTAGTAAATTTTACTACTTGAAATAGGAAAATAAAATTATTTTTTATTTATAATTGTTTATTATCAGTAGAATTGACTTTTTCATCCTCTCTCCTATACTGACGCTTATTTTATGCTCTAACGATTATATACCTAACAGAGAAAATTTCTAACCGACGGGAATTGAACCCTCGACCCTAACGCTCGCTATCCGATACCTTAACCGACTAACCACGCACGCTCGCTACGACAGTCTGCAAACTACTCAAAGACTACTTTCTGCTTGTCCAATTGGTAATTTAACTATTTAAAGTAGTCATTTTTACTACTTTTATTAGTTGCTATAACTATCCTTTTTAAGTTTTGACTTGTAAATTTTTCATCTTTTAATTATATTATAAGTTGTTTAATTGCATAGTGCAAAATAGTGTTCTTAAAGCCTATTGAACAACTTTAAGTAGTAAAACCCTTCTAGAAAAAATCAATTAAACACGATTCAGAACGATTGAGTACAAAATTTTTTTAATCGTTTTGAATTGTTTTCAATTGAGCCACCGCGTACAGTAACCGCAGATGCGCTCGGGCTGTCTGGCCCAAGCGCAATATCTACTTCGAGTTGCGCGGTGTAGGCCAATTCTAGTGTTCTTATTGGCCAAATCTCGTTCCCACCACTCAATTCGTAGTAGATATTGCGGCTGGGCCAGACTGCCCGAGCGCATCTGCGATTATTGTACGCGGTGGCTTAATTGGAGTATATATTTTTTCAATTGATTTGAATTGTTTTCAATCGTGTAAAATAAGTTAAACTTTTTCAATTGTTTTTAATCGGGTGCTATCGGGAGAACGATATACGCACATGCACAAATAGTTAATTATAATAATAAGAAAAGTGTTGAATCAAACAGGAAAGATGTTTTTCTTATAAGTGTTTTGTAATATATAGTTTGTTCTGTTCGTGCGTATGTGTCAAATATTTAAAATCTAAA